TCAAATAGCCTTTTTCAAGTTTGCTAACTTAAGAGCACAGGGTCAACTCTCTCCTTCCCTGTTAAGTGTCCCAAAGTTTTGTCTTCCCTACAGGGTGTCACAAAACCCCTCCTCCCCTGCTGTGTACAAGACAGTCTTAGAGGGGGTCTTAGGTGTATAGTTAGAAAAAGAAAACCTGTAGTCTTGAAGTATGAGGGCCCTGGAATGTGGTACTTCCCAATCCTTAGTTGGTGAGCACTTTCCTCCATCCTTCCTGCAAGACAGATCTTACAAAATGCAGTGTGTTGATTTTAAATTGAGTCCACAGTGGGGGTCTTTATTGAAGATAGCAGATCTCTGCCACCCTGGGTGCCTAAATGACTGTGGAACACAGCCATCCCTGCTCCCACCTCCTCGCTGCCCATCAGACTTTACCTAAGAGGAAAGTCTTTATATGTGAGCACCTGAGATTTAAGGGTTTATCTGTTACGGTATCCAACATTACCTTAACTGATACATATAATGACTCATTCCTACATAGATTCCTAACTGCAGGTTATATCTTGTCCTTCCCAAACATAGCTTTGACCGTAAAAGTTGGGTATGACATACATTGCCTGGTTGGTGGTTACTAGTTATATCTCTCAATTCTAGTCTCATAAAGGGAAGAATCTTCTGAGGTTTTCCCGTCATGAAGTCCTCCACATTGACATGCCAGACTATCTTTTAGGAAGCCACAGGAAAGACAACTTTCATGTCCTGTTCTGAGATAATGAAATCACTCCTAAAAACTCTGTGCACAGGAAATATCTGATGAGGCTTGTGGATTTATTCTTTGTCATGGGCTGATTTGTGTCTCCCTATTTCATATGTCAGAATGTGACTATTTCCAAAGATAGAGGCTTTAAAGAGGTAAGTAAGGTAAAATGAGGTCTTTGTTTGGGCCCTAATCCAATGTGACTGGTGTCTTTGTAAGAAGAGGAGAGTAGGACACAGAAAGGCACAGAACATATGAACATGAAGATGGCCAGGTGGAAGGAGAGAGGCCTCAGAAGAAGCCAACCCTGCCAGCACGTTGACCTTGGACTTCTAGCCTTGAGAACTGTGAGAAAATAAATTTCTATTGTTTAAGCTACCCGGTGTGTGGTACTTTGTGATGGCAGTCCAAGCCGACTAGTACAGTCTTGAAGGTGGTGGCCAGGACAGCAAGGACAACCTGAAGTGGTACTGTGGGACATTTTGTGTTAGCTTGAATTAGCATCATGTTTCTTTCCTTTGGTCCCCAACCC